ATTTACCGCCCTCTGGGACATCCCACCACCCCCACTAGAGACCGACCGAAAGTGATTTTCTGATTTCGGCCGAAACCGAAACTTGGCCGAAAGTGATAAAATGGCCACTTTCGGCGCCGAAACCGAAGCCGAAGCCGAAATTCGGTCGGCCTCTAACCCCCACCCCACCCACTCACTGGTTTAGTGTATGAAAATCTCACAAGCCAGAAGAAAGCACAAACGTCGACTTCCCGATTTGTTTTGCTTCAAAAATGTTTGTCCAATGTCTCATTTTTAAAATGAATATTATATAGGTTTTTTTCAGAAGATCTGTTTAGGTCAATTTTTTTACGGCCTGGCTGATCAAGTGTCAACACAAATTAATTTGCTGTTGGGCCATGTACAGGCTAATTTTTATGCTACCAACCCTTTGTATCATTTCCTGGTTCCTAATGTAATTCCATCTCGTTTTACCACCTGCTCATCTTGAGTATTCATCTCACAGTTGAACATAATTTTCTTGAGGGTTTTTATTCATGCAGAGTCCAGATTTGCCACGGGTAGGTAAGGGTTAAAATAAAGAAAATTTTTATTAGTCTGGCCTTTGGTTTCCATCTTTCTATTGTTGGATGTTTTAGCGGCTAGAGGCTTTTTTATAATTTTGTCCATACTTGTTGAGAATGCGTCCCGGATATTTAAACTCCTGGCGTTGGAGGAGACCACTGATCGATCTACTTTTCAGGCTGTCAACATTGGCAGTGCAGCTGCTCCTTGTTGTAGTTCAGGTGCAAGGGCCGGCTAACGGTGCCGGCAACTCGGGCAGTTGCCCAGGCCACCAAGTGCTTAGGGTGCCACCAAGTGCTTAGGGTGCCATCAACGATCCTCCAAAATAGGACAATCATTGCATGTGGGTGCCATGGAAGAAAAATAGAAAGTGCAATAAAAAGATTTGCAGATGTAAAGGCTAGAGAAAATAAAATGTCATTGTTAGGCTAAGGGGCCGTTCATAAAGTACATCACGCTATTTTTGACCATTTTAACCCCCCCTCCCCCTGTCACAAACTGTCACAAATCTCGGAGGCCCCCCCCCACCATAAAAAACCGCGGCCGCCCCCCCCCCCCAAGTATGTCACACTTTCGAACAAATTTTAAAAAAAATAAATTAACACCTAATTAAAATTTAATCTTAAACACACTTCACTATTAAACTGTATTAAAATATAAAATTTCCACTTAAAAGAACGATCACATTATTAAAATTACTTTAATAGTAGAATAGTTAATTGTCAACAGTTGTCACAGCTATTCATCGAAGCATTAACTCAATCTAGATTGAATTTGAAAACAAAAATTGCAAAAATTAGACTAGACAATTATATAATACACTTCATTTTTCTGCTGCTTTTTCATTTACAAAAGGTGAGGTCAAGTTTTAGATAATCTTCCGATTATGCAATCTTTTTACACAGGATAAGAAGTATATTAGCGAAACTTGACCTCACCCAGTGATTAAATAATAAAAAGGACAGTGACATAATTATGCAGCGCACATCATAGAAATACTAATACATCGGGCATGACGAAAGCAAGGCTATATATAAAACAAGGCTTCGCAACAGCATACTAGTGCTCCTAGCGAGAGGAATCGTGAACAACACATTCAGGAGATAGGCATTTCATGCTATTTTGACATAAAGCTAAATCGAATGTTTCACAAAATTTTTGACAATTATTTTTAAAGCTATTAAATTCTATTAAAAAATAAATTAGAAATGAAATTTGAAAAAAAATAATGTGTGACGTCACACATGGCCTGACCCGCCCTTCCCCATGTCACAAACTGTCACACACTATCACACTTTCTTACACCCCTCCCCCCACCCCCCCCTCTGGAGCGTGACGTACTTTATGGACGGCCCCTAATTACTAATACTGTCGAAATACAAGTTTAGAAAAAAAAAGTTATTGTTCATTGTTTGTTTTTTAAAAACCCATATAAACTCATTACCAAATGCCAAGTTTTTTCCTTGCACAAATTTTTATGATTATACTTAAAATGGACGCAAATGTTAAGCTTTCCCGGGGCGCCAACCACCGTCCGGCCTGCCCTGTTCACGTGCAATGATCACATTTGATATTAAAAATCCGTTTAGCGCCAAGGGATGCATACTGATTTGTAATCCGTTGTGTTTTTTCCCCATGAAGATTACGAACAGCTAACTCGAAATTTTTCCTCAAACTAGCACCTTCAATAGCCTACTCCTATTAGCAATAAAATGGCTAAAACCCAACATTGTCGCGAAAAATGAAAGGAATTTGAAGAAGCTGTGACATACATACCAAGGATGCAATGGAGTTAAAGTGCTTAGTTAAGAAACTAATTTTTTTAAATTTTACATATGACATACAGATTTACTGTTTCCTTTAGAAATCCATTAACTGTAATTTAAGGCTCTTTGTAACTATCATCAACCCCCTTGTCAGGGGCGTCTATCTCTCTTGAGTGTTGGAAGGAAACCCCCCTCTCCTCTGTATTTCAAAAACTATTCCCATTTTCCAGCAAATAAAATTATCAAATCCAGACATTTTAGTTGGCATATAATCATTAATTTTTTTTTAACGATTAAAATTCAAAATTATGGTAAGTGGCTGGATTACTGTGCGGTGAAAAATATGTCAATTCCAAACCCGAGGATTTGAATTAAATCCCCAGCATAACCAAGGCAGCAAAGACAACGCTATCAACTCAAAACTTACAACGTTCCTGTTGCTGACTAGGGAAGCAGCTTTTCTGCCTAAAAAAAAAAATAATCCCATGAGATTTAGTTATATTTATATTATGTTTAAAAAAAAAAATACAAACTACACAATTACACAACAACGGACGTGTCGGCCAAGCGTCTTCAGTCGGCAAACAAAAAAAATAAACTTAACTAAAAAAATGACCCATCTGATAGAGTTTATAAAATTTGTTCATTGGCGAGTGATTAAAGGCATATTTCATGACTTCTTATCATTTAACTTCAATGAAATTGAATGTCTAAGTCAGGCACTTATGTTTAAATTAATCGTAAATAGAACCGCTCGAATCTATTTATACGTCAAGCGTAAATGATACTTTTAGACCTTGATTAGACACTCAACGATTAAGGAACAACTGCCAAATATTTTGGCATTGGGTTATAAATTATAAATCAACCAGCTTATCGATTGGACCAGGATAAGCAAGCAATGCATTTCATTGTTGTCGATATATCTCATCAAATTATAGGCTAAATTATATAACATATTCTTAACTCAAAAGTTTATAAATGAAGGTAAATAGTTTATTAATTCTCAGCTTAATCTTTTTTTTTTTTTAAATGAGGCCAACTACTTTTTCGTTTTTTGTCAGAGCCGTCACTATCGGACTCGCTCACAACTTAACTGTAACTTTAATATCTTTTATTATCATTCGTTATCGACTATCCCCCCTAGCCCTATTTTTTAAACTTATAATTTTTATTGATATTAATGGGCCTGATCACTTCAGTGTCAATAGGTAGGATGTTAGGCTTTGTTTGGTATGTTACAAAATTAAATATTATATTTATATTACTATTACTATTACAATAAATAGTAATATTATAATAAGTTTAAGTTAAGTTAGCCAACCTTTGTATCCTGGTTTTCCTAAAATTAATATTAAAATATTAATAGTAGGTGTAATAAAAGCAACCAGGAAATAACTTATAAGGTCTACTCATTGCGGTAGGCATAGTCATAGTCATAGGCCTACTAAACTAAATAATTGATAAAATTGTCGTTAACTGTTGCCTACTTGTTGTAGCTGGAAAGATAGTGCTTAGTACAGAGTAGACTAGACATAGACTATAAATATAATCTATAATAGACTAAAAAGATTTTATAGATAAAGTGTCGGTGAACTTAAATTTAAATATAGACCTGAGTCCTGGGGTCAAGCTTTCCAAACTAACTGTTTTAGGCTGTAACTGTAGGAACTATATTCAGATATTATACTTAGGGGCCATCCATAGATGACGGCACACAAATTTTGCAGATTTTTTACCCCCTTCCTCTCATTGTCAAAAATCATCACAAAAAAATTAGATCCCCCAGGTCACCGAGACAGTAGACTACCTGCTTGCCTGGGGGGTAAATGTAAAGGACCAATGCCACTATTTCATCGATTGCCGCCATCTTGGTTGAATCTTTCACGAATGTATCCCTAAATCGATCCCTATGCCTAACCTGAAGCCTAAATCGATCCTTATGCCTAACCTGAACCCTAAATCGATCCCTCAACCTAACCTAAACCCTTATTCGCCTCAACTATAATAAAGACACAAAAGACGCAGTGGTGGCCGTCCTTTACATTAGCCGCCTGGTGTCCCAAAAACGAGGCACGGGTTGTCTCTGATTTTATTTAGGGTGACGCCCACCTGATGAGGCAAGCCATCATCAAAATAGCCAGGGTCATAAAAGCATAAGCTTGACCCAACAAGAGAATGTCATGTATTTAGTATATCAGCCTATTATAATTATTAGTGAAACTAATCATACTCATCAGGTCCCGTAAACAAGGCTTTTAATGCTAATGGTACAAAATATTACTAGCTACTATTAGGCCTTGGGTAATGTCTTAGAGTTAGTAATTAGGCCTAACCTAGTAAATTAATGTTATTAGCAGTAATTTTATGTTTAATTTGAAACCTGTTTTTTAAGTATGTTAAAATAAATAATATTCGGACATGTTTTTTTTTTTTTAGACATGTACAACAGCCATCTGTTTGTTTCTAAAAGACAAGTTGATCTTATAGTTTTACCTCAAGGTGAGATTATTTTTTTTGTACTCCACTTTTTAAATTTATTTACATTTAAAAGTTTTAGTTTAAAAGGCTTTTAAAATATAAAGACCTACTTACTTGTGTAATAAAATACAGTCTCACCCATGATTTATTTATGACTATGTAGCATTGTTACTTGTTTTTGACATGCATGTGATCCTAACAGTTTCAGATCTGAGGTATGAAACCATGGAGGAAGACTTAACTTGCCCTGTGTGTCTTGAGTTATATGCTGACCCCTTGATGATGCCTTGCTCTCACAGCGTTTGTAAGGCTTGCCTACATGACGTTATGAAAAGCAGAGGAAAGCAGGGGAAAGATGGTAATACTATGAACATAAATCATTATCTTTATGAAGATAATACTGCATGAGGTATCTGCAACCTAATTAGATTTTTTTTTACAAATGAAAACAAATGATTTTCATTACCGCATGCTAGATTTAATAAAAGCTAAATGTTTTGATATTATTTCTTCCAATAGTTTCATCTAACTAGCAATACGTTTGTCATTTTCACATAATTTTTCAGATCTTGAGTGCCCAGCCTGCAGGCAAAGCCACAAGCTAACTGCTGAGCAGGTCAACAAGCTGCCCAAAAATCTTGCCCTTGAAAATATTGTCTTCCGCTACCAAGAGATTCGCAGCTGCAGCATGAGCAACACAGGGAACATGAAAACTGTTTACAGTGCAGCGGATTCAATATCACTCTCTGCTTATTCTCCTGTGGAAGATCTTGATTTTGTGTTTGAAGACGGTTCAGACGAGTGCCATTGTGGTAAGGGGATATATCTATTGAAAGTATTGGAACTCTTTTAAGTATTAGATGTTATTTTTCAGGCAGCAATTTGGCCTGAAGCTCCACCTGGCCATTTGACCAAATCTTGTTCCACTATTTATTTACTTCACACGGCTTGAACGTTGTCCCTCTTTTATTATAATTTAAAAACATTACAATCTGCTAAAACATGATTCTCCAATATGACCTGCCTGTAAATGAACAAAATAAATATCTATAATCTATAATAATTTACAAAGAAAACTATAATAAAAGGGTGTTTATAAGTGACAGAGATAACATTGAAGGTATGAATTATCTGGCCCTAATTCTTAGGCAGCAACACAACTTCATATTTAAAATTTTAACTTATATTTAAAATAATTGACATCTCGTAAAAAAAAAATTCATCTTCTAACACCCCTTTGAATTACTGTGAAACTTTTGTGTTTACATATGTCATGCTGTAATGGCTGTTAAAATAAGTAAGTGTTTCAGTTTCTATATATTTCTTTTCATCACCATTTTAGGCATGTGTGATGAAGCCAAGAAAAGACACGCAGATTGGTTCTGCCAACAATGCCAAGTTTTGTACTGTCAGCAGTGTTTAGACGTCTATCACCCTAAACGCGGACCACTTGTCAAACATAAGGTGTTTGAAAGATATCAAGGAGCACGTCTCCCTTTTTAGTTATTTATTAATCTCCGTTATCCACTTGATATTAAATATTTTATTTACTTTTGTATATTATTTTGTATCAACTTTTTCATTTTGCACAATTTTAATTTTATGATTCTAAGAACTCCAATGAATACAAGTTTTGAAAAGTCAACACTTGATTTAAATTACATGAAAAGAAGATCCAAAAATAGAAATATAAAAATTCATAAACCCTGCCCATCTTAACTTTTAAAAGAAAATAATTGTTGAAGAAAATCAAGTGTTTGATTCCTCTGTAACCCTGTGATGGTCTAATGCTTGCACATCAGAATACATCAAATCTATAGATTAGATATGTGTAAGTGTAAGTCTACTTTTGAAGACATTTGTGATAGGCTTTTACTTTATTATACAATGAGCAAATATGTCTAAAAAAAACTTGATACTATTGTGATGTTAAGTGCTGATGTTGTGATGTGTAGGTCATTGAAACCACATGCTGATGTTGTGATGTGTAGGTCATTAATACCACATGCTGATGTTGTGATGTGTAGGTCATTAATACCACATGTTGATGTTGTCATGTGTAGGTTATTAATACCACATGCTGATGTTGTGATGTGTAGGTCATTAATACGACATGCTGATGTTGTGATGTGTAGGTCATTAATGCCACATGCTGAAATTGTGATGTGTAGGTCATTAACTCATTCCCTCCTGCAATGCTACTTCCGTATTTAATTTATTTGCCTGAGAAAGGGAAGTAACCCCGTTTGGAAATTGTTTACATTTTTTTAAAAATGTATTTAAGCTACTAAATATTATTTAATGTTAATGAATTAAGAACAAATGCAACAAAAAATTAATAAGGTTTAATATAAATATAACATTAGCGGGGAAAAAATAATGAACAATGACCAAAAAATCGATTTTCGGCACCTCGGACGAACACATGCTACATAAAGACGCGCCGTACTAAAGCACACGTAGTTTTAAAGCGAAACAAGATAAAAACTTCCGGTTTTTAAATTAAAATCACGCTGAACCACGCCATCGCCGGAAGTCTCGAGGGATGCGAGATTTCATTGCTATTTTTAAATAGATATGAGAGAGGTGTGTCGCTATGCGCCGGGACGCATTTGGACGCATCCGGCGAATCCCGAAAAGACGCATTTAGTCGCAACCGTCGGGAATGAGTTAATACCACAATGCTGAAATTGTAATGTGTAAGTCATTAATTACTTTGTGATGTGTAGGTCATTAATACAACATGCTGATGTTGTGATGTGTAGGTCATCAATACCACATGCTGATATTGGGATGTTATGACAAATCATCAGTGTTTAATGTCAATATATGGATGATATGTCTCTTTGCCATTTTTACAACAAAAATTGATGTTTCAGTTTTTAAGTTTACAATGATTGCTGCTTACAAGCTTATTAATAAACATACAATAACTCACCTTTATAAAGGTATATTATTTAAACTTAAAATAAAATAAATAAATCCTCGAAATGATATAGCTAATAACTTTTTGTGTCATTGACAGGTGCGTAGACCAACGCTCAAAGAGACAGCTGAATATTTGCTGCGATGTCCAGATCATTGTAACGAGACGGCCAGTATATTTTGTGACACATGCAAAGTTGTTGCCTGCCACCTTTGTGTGTGTCAGGGTCAAGGCCAACACTGCAAACATTGCATACTTGACCTTGAAACAGCAAGAAAACAGCTGCAGGTAAGGCAACTCAATGGTGATGTCTGTTTAAGAGTAGAATTGTTCCAATGTGGTAAGGCAACTCAATGGTGATGTCTGTTTAAGAGTAGAAGTGTTCCAATGTGGTAAGGCAACTCAATGGTGATGTCTGTTTAAGAGTAGAAGTGTTCCAATGTGGTAAGGCAACTCAATGGTGATGTCTGTTTAAGAGTAGAAGTGTTCCAATGTGGTAAGGCAACTCAATGGTGATGTCTGTTTAAGAGTAGAAGTGTTCCAATGTGGTAAGGCAACTCAATGGTGATGTCTGTTTAAGAGTAGAAGTGTTCCAATGTGGTAAGGCAACTCAACGGTGATGTCTGTTTAAGAGTAGAAGTGTTCCAATGTGGTAAGGCAACTCAACGGTGATGTCTGTTTAAGAGTAGAAGTGTTCCAATGTGGTAAGGCAACTCAACGGTGATGTCTGTTTAAGAGTAGAAGTGTTCCAATGTGGTAAGGCAACTCAATGGTGATGTCTGTTTAAGAGTAGAAGTGTTCCAATGTGGTAAGGCAACTCAATGGTGATGTCTGTTTAAGAGTAGAAGTGTTCCAATGTGGTAAGGCAACTCAATGGTGATGTCTGTTTAAGAGTAGAAGTGTTCCAATGTGGTAAGGCAACTCAATGGTGATGTCTATTTAAGAGTAGAATTGTTCCAATGTTTTCATCCCCCTCATTTAGTAGTGGGATTATCTCAAGAGATAGTTTTGATTAAATTTAAATTTATCTTTTTTTCATTGAAATATGTTTCTCAGGAGACTGTGTTGCAAGCCAAAGGAGAACTAGCCAATGTTATTGAATCCTTTTCTAAAAAGGACTGTGCTATAGACTCACAGATACATTTCTTGAAGGTAAATTATAAGGATGTAATATCTCAGTTTTATTGTTTAAGTTGTAAATGTTGATAAAGCTTTGTCTTCTATTGTAGGAATACTTCCTGAGTTGGAGGCATTCATCTCCATTTGTTGACCATAAATATCAGTTGAATAGTCCATCTTGATCCCAAAATATTTGTTTTAATTTTCTTCAAATCAATGTATTTATTAGTTATTTATTAGAGCATTGATGAAGAGGGGAAAAGTTTAAAAAATACAATTATAGAATTATTTCGGCTCCCTTTCTCATTTACCTGGGATTGAAATACACACAGAAAGAAATAAAAATCAAATGAGAATAGATAATATGCAACTGCTAGCCAAATGAGGTACAACATTATTCAACAATTTAATGAGAATAGATACTATGAAACTACCAGCCAAAAGAGGTACAACATTATTAAACAATTTAATGAGAATAGATACTATGAAACTACCAGCCAAATGATGTACAACATTATTAAACAATTTAATGAGAATAGATACTATGAAACTACCAGCCAAAAGAGGTACAACGTTATTAAACAATTAAATGAGAATATATAATATGAAACTACCAGCCAAAGTGAGGTACAACATTATTGAACAATCTTATCATAATTTATCATCATGCCTTATTTCTAACCCTCTGTCAGAGTCTGGAGGAGTCTGCCAAGAGTAGCATATCAAGCCAGTACAACTGCATTCTGGCAGACGTGGCTGCTACACTGAGACTGGCAAGGAATAAGTCTGTTAAATGCATTCTTGATATCATCAGCCAACATTCCTTACATCTGACTGGTAATAGCCAGCAGGTTAAGGCTCTCCTGGCCCAGTGTCACAGTCTTGACGCTGCTTGCAAACACTTGCTTTCTGGGGAGAAAGTCAAATCTAAGACACATGGGTCAGTCTCAGATGAGAAAAGCCAACCGAAAGATTGTGTGCTTTCACCTGGCAACAGTTCTAGGAGCAACGCCAGCTTCTCATCTTTGGAGGATATGAATGAAGGCAAGTCGACTCATGAAAAGTTTGTGAAAAAATCAGCCTTTCAGAAACCCGATGACAGCAAGCGAGACGCATCCACCGAAAAGCAGGGAGGTAAATCTGAGAGGCAGCAACACGTGGAGAGCAGGAATGCCAGAGATTTAAAATTGTCCAATACGGATCCAAACAGGCAGCAGGATTTGAAGAAACGCGCATCTTCAGACTCCATCAATTACCGCCTCTCTTTTCTAAGTGATGACAAGGAGAAATCAGCCGTCAAAAGACTTTCTACTGGAAGTTTAAACCCAGTGCTGAAAGTCGTAGAAGAGTCTCAGAATGATAAACTTTCCACAAAGTCTGGTGCCACGGAACAAACAGAGGATTTTGTCAGAGCCAGGAAGAGTGTCGTAGATAAAACTAATTCTGAAAGGAAAATGTCAGTAGGTCATCCAAGGTCTAAGAATTCCATTGGGACAGATGATCACTTAGAAGGGCCTGATGAAAGGGGTGGGTGGGGCGAGAAGTCTTTGAGTGCATCAGAGGACACAAGCTTGGAGAATTTCATGGACAAGATGGAGGATGAATTGTTATTTAGGGCGGATGAAGTGGGGCCTGTACTACAACAAGTTTCAACTTTGACCAAAGAGTAAGTTATACCGGTATATTACTTTATAAACATATCTTAGTTTTTTTTAAACATTAACTGGTGGCCTGTACTACAACAAGGTTCAACTTTGACCAGAGAGTAAGTTATACCGGTATATTACTTTATAAACATATCTTAGTTTTTTTTAAACATTAAGTGATGGCCTGTACTACAACAAGGTTCAACTTTGACCAGAGAGTGAGTTATGTATTACTTTATAAACATCAAGTCTGTTTGCAAAGATAGTTAATTTTTTAACACAATTAAATGCTCTTCAGTCTTCATACACTTTTTAATTTGAAGAACACTATTACTAAAACCTGCACAGGAAGTATGCTTCAAACTTAGAAGTAGTAAGTAAAAAAAAACTGTGTTACTGAGTACACTCTACTTTTTGACTGGCTGTTGGTGGTGCTCCATCTAACAAGGTCAAGGTAAGGAGCACCGGGTTGGTTTAAAAGGTTTACATAGTCCTAAAAACAGTCCACAAAAGACATTTGATGACTAAAAATGTAAACTGCTTGTTATGCATCCTGTGAACAAGATGATTAAATACCTTGATAGGGCTTGTGTCCATGCTATTTTACCATGCTCACAGCGCTCTGATGTCCTAACATCTATTTAAAGAAAAACAACATCTTTAAATGTTACTTTAAGACTTTAAAGAATAATTTTTCAATTGCCTTAAAAGTTTAAGGCAAACTTTTCCATAATTTAGGAAATAAAAAAAAAAATCATCTTTTACAATGACTAATGTGACAGTTTGTGTGTGATTGTCAACTGTCACATTGATCTCCCAATCCAGCTTTGAAATCATTTCAAAGAACAGTAAGATATCATTTTTTACTTATTTTTGTTGACTGATCAAGAGGTGTTGGGTTTTATGTTCAAGAATTGAATCTTGTGTTCTTCAGATTTAGTGTTGACAACTCAGCCGATGTGGGAGTCGCTCAGCTAACGGTGGATGAGACCAATATTTTGTCTTGTGTCTCTAACTTCCACACATCTTCGTTGGCCCTTCTCTCCAACCTGGCTGGTAAGTATGAATGAAATTTTTGATTCAAGTAGGCAATATTTTATGGCTGCTAAAGAGTGTTGACGGTGTAGGAGTGGGTACAAATGTGATAATAAATAATGTATTAACTTTGATATGTTTTACAACAAACTTTTAATCAAGGGAGACAACTTACATGTTAATGACATTTACTTACTAAAAAAAAAAACAAGAACAAAAACATTAACTAAGAGGAGAGAGAATTCTGACCTCAAACCTCTGCTGTCTGGCAGCTACAACCTTTATGGGTAAGGCAAAGGGAGTAAACCCAAATTGAAAAATCCATAGGTGAAATGTTGAAGCCGGTCTTACAAAAAAAAAAATTTGCTTTCACCTTAATGTGATTCCGCAAATCCTGGAACACCATTTCCCCCAAAACAATCACAAGTAGGATCGCCTGCTAGGGCAACAGTTTTTTAAACCTTTGGCCAGGTTCCTAATGAGAAGACTCCAGTCAAATGACACAATAATTTGTGAAAGACAGTTGATGCCAACCAATTAAAAAATAATCAAGAATGAAATTTCTTCTAATTTCACATAGACATAAATATATAAAGGTCACTCATATTGCTAAACGCTCTGGTTAAAATGGTTAAATTTATTTAAATAATTTATTTAAATTTATTTTGATTTATTTTTAAATTTTACTTAAGACAAAGTAATTGTGTTAAAAATGACCAGGATACTTCAGGTTGCCTAAATAATGCTTAGAGACAAACACAAGAGTCTGGCATTGCTTAGAGACAAACACAAGTGTCTGGCATTGCTTAGAGACAAACACAAGTGTCTGGCATTGCTTAGAGACAAACACAAGTGTCTGGCATTGCTTAGGGACAAACACAAGTGTCTGGCATTGCTTAGAGACAAACACAAGTGTCTGGCATTGCTTAGAGACAAACACAAGTGTCTGGCATTGCTTAGGGACAAACACAAGTGTCTGGCATTGCTTAGAGACAAACACAAGTGTCTGGCATTGCTTAGAGACAAACACAAGTGTCTGGCATTGCTTAGGGACAAACACAAGTGTCTGGCATTGCTTAGAGACAAACACAAGTGTCTGGCATTGCTTAGAGACAAACACAAGTGTCTGGCATTGCTTAGGGACAAACACAAGTGTCTGGCATTGCTTAGAGACAAACACAAGTGTCTGGCATTGCTTAGAGACAAACACAAGTGTCTGGCATTGCTTAGAGACAAACACAAGTGTCTGGCATTGCTTAGAGACAAACACAAGTGTCTGGCATTGCTTAGAGACAAACACAAGTGTCCGGCATTGCTTAGAGAGAGATATTTTATCCTATTACCGGTACAAATAATCACTAGTTGTCAATGTCTTGCATGGATGTAGAAGTGTGTTGCTTTCTCTGCCAGAGGAAACTCCCATGGACTGCCCTATCATCACTCCTGCAGTCCGTTCAGTGGTCTCCCCTGCCCATAGCAGTCAGTCCGGGGGCACTCCCAGTGTCAAAAGCAGAATTTTACTGACATGGGGCTTCAACTCGACAACATTCACGGCCGAACCCATAGAAGAAAAGGCCCAGTGGTCAATCACCATCTCAAGAAATACAAGTCACATCGGAGACATCAAGTCAGGCTACCTGTTTGGTGTTGGGGTCTCTACAAAGCCACTGAGTTCTAAAGAGCAGGTAAGGTCATTCTATGTTCCCATTGTCTTGTCGTGTTCTGTTAGTGTCCATTGTCTTGTTCTATGTGCCCATAGTCTTGTTCTATGTGCCCATAGTCTTGGTCTATGGGCCCATAGTCTTGTTCTATGTGCCCATAGTCTTGTTCTATGTGCCCATAGTCTTGTTCTATGTGCCCATAGTCTTGGTCTATGTGCCCATAGTCTTGGTCTATGTGCCCATAGTCTTGTTCTATGTGCTCATTGTCTTTTCATGTTCCCATTGTCTTGTTCTAGGTTCCCATTGTCTTGTTCTATGTGCACATTGTCTTGCCTTGTTCCCATTATCATGTCATATTCTACTTTCCCTATTGTCTTATCATTCCAATTGTTAATGTTTGTCATATTCTTTATATCTTCATGTTCTTCTTCATCATCCTCTGTCCACTTTTCCTGGGGAGGCATCACAAGGAGATTTTGGCTGATAGCTTGTCTGGAGGTGTGAAGCCTGCTGGAGGTTCATGGTCTAGATTTTTCTATCAAATATGTCAATTTCAAAATGAATAGTACTTACACTGTGTCACATATTTATTTAGAAGACCATGTTTATCCCAAGGCCTGGCATCCTATTTATTTAGAAGTCCATGTTTATCCCAAGGTCTGGCATTCCTAATGCACATTGAATTAGTTTTCTCCTCTAATGCTTTCAGGGACTTAAAATTTGAGATAACTTCTCTTCATAGCAGTATTGTAGCAAATATTTTAATCCTTTTGTCTTTTGCCTGTATATTTCTCCAGCTGTCATATCACAAGAATGGTAATGAACCTTGTGCCCTATCTATAAATTAACACTGTTTATCCGACATGTAAAAAATCTACACTGAATAAACCTAGACAATATTTGATCTTTTTCAGATGGTTTCTTACAAATCAAAACAATTGAAAGCAGCTACAAAAATGGTGCTATACTGTTTCATTTGTTAAATTGTGATCTAGATCTCTTTTAAATTGGGTCAGCTTAGTGGCAAGCTTACTAAAAAAATTTTCAATGTCATCATTATTTTTATTTCCATGCCAGATTGGAATGAACTCAGAATCTCATGCCATCGTCTGTGTCGGCGGCCACATCGCCATATGCCAGGACAGCCAGGTTAGTAATATAACGCCACTGGCTGATCTTCCCCTGACTGTGACAATATCAGTGGCCAGAAGTAAGGTTGGCCTTATCATGGCCTACAAGGTGGTGCCCAGTGGCTCATCCACTAATGTTAATGGCAGGAGGATCATCAGGCTGGCAACGGATGAATTCGATGCAGAGACCAACGAGAAGTCATTATCTGAGGTGAAAGTCTATCCTGTCTTCACAGTAAGTCAGCGTGTCAAAATGCAGTTTCCTCTAACATCAGATGTATAGCTGCTCTATACAAAGTTGAAATAAGAGGGTTTGTTAGATACTCAAAAGATAGTTGACTGATTCTCAAAAGATAGTTGACGTATGCCGGATAGGTTCATTGAACAATGCTGTTTGATTGTACGTTTGTAGAGAACCTATCCAGAAATCTACTAAGTTTATGTTAATGCCATTCACTTTGATATATTGAATTCATGCATAGCATTTTTGACACACACACACACACCACACGCACACACACAATGTTTTCAGTCACGCTACTTACAAAACAAAAAGAGAATATGAAGTAGCTTGACCCAGTTAATGAAATAATTGTAGTTTTTTTTTATTTAGCGTCACTTGATATTTTGATATGTGGAGATGGTATTTTCTTTAAAATTATTACAAGCTTGTATCATGACAGTCTGAGAAACTTTACTTTGAAGTGACATGTCACCACAGTGATGCGTAAAGCTCATACTGGGCAACGTAATAACAAAATTCAAATTTCATGGAGTGCTAAATCTGGTCAAGTTTTTTTCACCATTGTAGAATAGATCATTTTGCAAACATTAGATAGGTTACTTTTTTCTTCATATGTTAAAACAATATGTCCAGGACAAAATCTCCAGGACAAGTTTTGTCCACTGTTGGAGACCTTTAGGTGCACCATTTTAACAGAGTGGTAGATCAGAACATGCAGTACAAACAACAAACTCAATTTTTAGGTTTGTACAAAAATCTGCTGTAATTAAACCACTATTCAGTGCAATACATCACAGCTTGTCAAGAGAAGGAAAGAAGATTCTAACAAACTATTCTAGTTGATGATGCTATAAAGCTGGACATGAGAGAAAGTAGACAGCAAACCTCGTCTACAACGGCAGGTTTCAGCATTTTTGTTTGAGACTCACTGAATCTATTTGGTAAAGCCCTGGTTCCAACCGTTGAAATATTTTCTGAAAATTTTGGTGAGGAGCAGTGCCATAGAATATCATTTCTATCACAACTATCAGATGGATCACTTAGTCAGTATAAAACAACTTATTTTACTTCAATTTGTGTTTGGTTGAGTCAAATCTTGGGGGGGGGGGGGCACGGCGTGGAACTTTTTGTGTTTTACTAGTTGAAAACTGCTCATCAATAATTAACCACTGGTGAAATTTTCATTTCATACCCCAATCTCTCTATTTCTGCTGATATTTTAACTCCTGTTATGGGCACCTGTCATGGGCACCTGTAATGGGCATTTTTCTTGAATTTCTTTCGCCATACTTTGTTTCCTTGTTTATTTTCATTATGGTGTATACAAATGTGATAAAAACCTATTAGTACATTCTGTATGATTGACATTGAGATTATAACATTTTTCAACAATTCTGTATTTAATTAAATATTTTTTTTATTAATGTTGGGGAAATGTGCATAATGTACATCCTGTTGAAATTTGACTTTATCTCAATTCGTATGCAACATGTTGATGCAATCTGAGCTAGGTCAAGGCTGCCTAGTCAACCAACCAATCAAATTGTGACTCTCTTTCAGAGTGGAAATGGCATTTTCACACTGATGTTTTTACATTTTTTTTCTATTAATTGTCTTTGTAAATGAAATTCATAGTCCTGTTAAGGTTGCATCTCAACTGACGCAAAACAAAATCATTTTCTTTAGGCAGAGTATGACAAGTATAGAATGACAATTTTAAGAGAAATAAATATTTTGGGAAATGACCTCTTAAGAATTGTTCCTGAAATTAAATGCTTTCTATAAGCACCAAATGTTGGCTTTTTTAATCAAATATATCATCATCCAGTCTTTCACACATGGAATTCGATTCAAATGATCAAAACCTAACTCTAAACAATGATAAAACTGATTCATGAATCACTCATGGTTTAAGTATTTGTTTTAATCAGAGGCTGGATGTTTGCAGATTGGAATCAACTAATCATAAGAACATGAAGATTGGCAACAAAACATTTATCTATTGTTTATTTATCTCTAAATAATTTTGTAATCACAAAAGTTGTGAGTGGTTTAAATCTCTCCTGTCTGTGGCTCAGCAAACATCAGGCCTTAGAATCCCCCTGGGTAGAAATGAGTCAAGTCTGTGACCAAACATCAGGCCTTAGAATCCCCATGGGTAGAAGTGAGTCAAGTCTGTGACCATCTGCCATGTTAGCACTGCTGTCTACCTCTCTCTAATGAAACGATGTTCTTGGCTATGAGAAAACCTTTGCATACCATTTTGTGGCGTCCATTTTAAGATGTGTTTGTTTCCAACAAATGGTTGTGACTGTTAACGCTGGACAAATTTGTGCAATAATTGTTGTTAACATTTTTTAAGAAATCTTGTGGCCAACTATGACATATTTTGACAAACTCTTCACAAAAATTGATCAAATATATTTTTACACTTTTCTCTTTTGTATTATGTATCATTATGTACAATCAAGATTTTGATCCATTTGTCTTTTGCAATGACCATTGTCTGTAACCAAGTACTTTTGAAATTAACAATATTTTCTCCAGTGTCAGTAAACCAACTGAGTACTTTTGAATTTAACAATATTTTCTCCAGTGTCAGTAAACCAACTGAGTACTTTTGAATTAACAATATTTTCTCCAGTGTCAGTAAACCAACTGAGTACTTTTGAATTTAACAATATTTTTTCCAGTGTCAGTAAACCAACTGAGTACTTGTGAATTAAATACTATCTTTTCTTACATTCTGAGATTAATTTTTGTGTGTAAGCTGAATAACTACAAGGCCAATGCTCTTTCAGCTGTACTGGTATTGTTTATTTTTGGGTGAAAGATTTCAATCAAAATTATCAGTGCAAATTTTATTCAACATGAAATGAATTGGTCTGAATTATTTATTATTGCTTCGTGATTCTGATGAAATCTTTAAAAAAAAGTTTATTATTGAGTTTTAATGTTAACATTGTGTATTTTACTCCAGTGTATTTTTTTATCAAGTGTATGACATGAGTATCGGAAACGTGTGTCTCTTTTCTGTAATCATCTTTTCTGTTACATATGTATTACACAGTAGAACTTGGATTATGGTGTGTTTGTAGAGTTCCTACTGTGTTTGTAGAGTTCCTACTGTGTTTGTAGAGTTCCTACTGTGTTTGTAGAGTTCCTACTGTGTTTGTAGAGTTCCTACTGTGTTTGCAGAGTTCCTACTGTGTTTGCAGAGTTCCTACTGTGTTTGTAGAGTTCCTACTGTGTTTGTAGAGTTCCTACTGTGTTTGTAGAGTTCCTACTGTGTTTGTAGAGTTCCTACTGTGTTTGTAGAGTTCCTACTGTGTTTGCAGAGTTCCTACTGTGTTTGTAGAGTTCCTTCTGTGTTTGCAGAGTTTCAACTATTTAGTATCTCCAGGTGACTTTCATATTTGTTAAAAAGTACAATCAATTGAACTCAGCCATTTATTGCTGTAGTAAAAAAAAAGTTTTTTTTTTTTTTTCTTTTTTTTTAATACAGAAATAAATGTCTTTTTTTTTTTAACACCATTAATCCAATGAAATCACTTAGTTTGTAGTACTAATATTTCAACACATTTCACTTGTTCTAGTCAGTGATAAGTCCAATAAGTGTTCAAAGACAGAAATCGCATCAAGAGCTTTGAACCACACATGGTGATGCAATCAAAGCTATATGAACTAAGCATCAAAAACATCACCTTGCTTAACTTATTAGTTTAATTTTTGTAGAGGTGTGTTTAACTTAATTAACTAAGTTTTAGAGAGAATCTCATAATAAGTGTGAAATATATATATATATATATGTATAGAATACTCACATGTTTAAAAGAAAAGAAATATCTACTTTAAAACTTTTTTTTTTTTTTTTGAAATAGATGCTCCAGTTAGTTTGTCAACAGCATTTGTTTGTTGGTAGGAAGTTCAGCAAAATAGTTTCCAAACGTAAAGTCATGGTCATCTGTCTCTACTACCAGTCCAGGAATGGGAGGTTTCATGTGGGGTGGAAGGGGGTAACATTAAATATTGCTGCAGACCTGGTCACATATATGATCAACCCCTCCCGTCCCTCTATCTTTATGTCATTATAAATTAATAAATATGATCTCAAGGTTGATTCTACTTATCCTTTTAATTTAAGAAGACATTTTGGCTGATCACATCACATTTTGGTTAATCATGGTAATATCTGGTTAATCATCACATTTCAGTTAATTGCATTACAATTGATATAATCATATTACGTTTTTGTTAATCAACATACAATTTGGTTTATCATAACAATTTGGTTAGTCATTAAAATTTGGCTTAATCATATTACAATTTGGCTGGTTATATTACAATTTGGTTAGCTATATTATAATTTGACTAATGACGTTACAACTTGGTTAACCATTTTACAATTTTATTCATTTTTATTGCTTTGCTCTCCTGGTTCCAGTTGGTATATTTCGATGATTTTACTTTTATCAAGTTAACATTTCTGATATGAACTGAAAAAAAACAACAACAACTGGTTATTTAAAAACAACACCACCACCACCAGCCTGTTTGTTAGTTTTTAATGCAACTTCTCTATGTATAATTTAATCCATGCTAAGAAAGATATTTTACTTGACCACAAATGCCATAATTTCTTACTATAACATAGGTGTGTCCATTATTTATGATATAAACTTATTCATCTAGTTTTTCTATGTTTGTTTAGCCAAATTTTTCTTATTGGTATGTAATTTTATTACGAGTGTTTGTTTTTTTTTAAAACATTCCTGTAATGCGACCGTTGACCTTTGATACAAGTGTCAAAACTAAAAATTTATGTTGCCGGTACATAGCTTGATTGAAGTGTTGCCTCATCGAGTGGTTATGCATTGCAAGTTTGAAATATCCTGTTGGGATGTCCTGTTCCAACCGGTTTCTGTTGACAGGCATCAGTGAATTCCTGGTCTATTTAAGAAATTTTTCTCTACTGGTGTGTTCTGTAACAAAACTTGAATATGCCTGTCCTACTGCTAACAATAGTGGAAAAAAACAGGTCAGGACATTTAAGCTTCAGAAAGGCTCTAGCTATGTTATGGCTTCATTTCAGCTAATTTTAACTAATAATATCACTAATTGACTCACTGCATTGTTGTGGTTCTCAAAACTTTACACCTAGGAACATGATACAATGAAGATATATTGATCAATTACACGCTTCATACAGCCACTCACACACACCGAAAATATCTTGTTGAACCATCATTGGTTTCACAGTTTGCCATAGTTTGGGAACCACTGGATTAAAAGGAAACAAAGTTTTTGTTGGCATAGATTGTCTGGTTGCAGACTTTTAGAATGTACTAACACTTGATGGGTTCAGTCAAGTATGAAGAAATGTGATCAATCAGCACAAACAATTCAGTAGTATCTCCACTGTATCCATTCATATCTACAGCAAATATCAATTGACAAAAGTCCATCATTTTTTGCCCACACACTGAAGTAGTGATAGCTTGGGTTTTATATAAAAATTTGCCCACCTCACACCATTGTATATTAATATTCATATATTCTTGAAATAACACGAGCTTAGATCTTGGGATAAACTGGGAAGAAATTATAGTCACCCATTGCCCTATAGAGTGTTGAATAATGTCAAGTGCACCATATTAATGGGTTAGAATAGATTAGTGGTAAGGTAAATGGTGCTTGATCATGTGATGTGGTAGTCCTTGAGTCAGAACGGCCACAATATTTGAAATGATAAAGTGGATGTTTTTCCTCTTGGATGTTGGACAAGAGGATTGTGGTCTACACATCACCCATCTACCCCCCCCCCCCCCCCCCCCCCCCCCCCCCCCCCCCCCCCCCCTCCCTTCCCCACGACAACGGTTAACTGATGAAGATCTATAGAGCAGCTGTTATGTCCAAGTTCTCTCCTGTCCTAGTAGAGTAGCTTAGAATTCCACTTAGTGTTAACTTCTGGCAAATCAATTTTATATGTCTATTAAACTTACAGCCATACACCCCATACTGCAGCCATACTCTCATTACAGCCATACACTCCGTATTACAGCCATACTCTCCGTACTACAGCCATACACTCATTACAGCCATACACTCCATACTACAGCCATACACTCCGTACTACAACCATACACTCCGTACTACAGCCATACACTCCGTACTACAACCATACACTCCATACTACAGCCATACACTCTGTACTACAGGCATACACTCTGTACTACAGGCATACACTCCATACTACAGCCATACACTCCGTACTACAGCCATACACTCCGTACTACAGCCATACACTCATTACAGCCATACACTCCGTACTACAGCCATACACTATTACAGCCATACACTCTGTACTACAGCCATACACTCATTACATCCATACACCCAGCACTACAGCCATACACTCATTACAGCCATACACCCCATACTACAGCCATACACTCATTACAGCCATACACTCCGTACTAGAGCCATACACTCCGTACTAGAGCCATACACTCCGTACTACAGCCATACTCTCATTACAGCCATACACTCCATACTACAGCCATACACTCATTACAGCCATACAGTCCGTACTAGAGCCATACACTCCGTACTACATCCTTACACACTGTGTACTACAGCCTTACTCTCATTACAGCAATACACTAAAACATAGAGAATTATTTGTGATTGTCAGATAGAACAACATGCATATCATTTTCATGATGTCTTATTGATAGCCGAATGAGAACTGACTTATTAAGTGAACAAGGTTTACTTTGTATTCTTATGTTTCACTGAGTGGCGTGCTTTGTGGTTGGGGGGGGGGGGACACTTTGGCTTGTGTCTGGTTTTGAAGGGTATGTGAATAAATATTGGACAAAAATAGTCTTAATTGTTTAAATGTGTATGGAGTTGTGGAAAAATGTATGAAAAAAAATGTAACCATGTCCCTAGAGTTCATTGGAAGCTAATCAGATGCTACCAATGTAACCATGTCCCTAGAGTTCATTGGAAGCTAATCAGATGCTACCAATGTAACCATGTCCCTAGAGTTCATTGGAAGCTAATCAGATGCTACCAATGTAACCATGTCATTAGAGTTCATTGGAAGCAAATCAGATGCTACCAATGTAACCATGTTCCTAGAGTTCATTGGAAGCTAATCAGATGCTACCAATGTAACCATGTCCCTAGAGTTCATTGGAAGCAAATCAGATGCTACCAATGTAACCAATGTCCCTAGAGTTCATTGGAAGCTAATCAGATGCTACCAATGTAACCATGTCCCTAGAGTTCATTGGAAGCTAATCAGATGCTACCAATGTATTCATGTCCCTAGTGTTCATTGGAAGCTAATCAGATGCTACCAATGTAACCATGTACCTAGTGTTCATTGGAAGCTAATCAGATGCTACCAATGTAACCATGTCCCTAGAGTTCATTGGAAGCTAATCAGATGCTACCAATGTAACCATGTCCCTAGTGTTCATTGGAAGCTAATCAGATGCAACCAATGTAACCATGTTCCTAGAGTTCATTGGAAGCTAATCAGATGCTACCAGTGTAACCATGTCCCTAGTGTTCATTGGAAGCTAATCAGATGCTACCAATGTAACCAATGTCCCTAGAGTTCACTGGAAGCTAATCAGATGCTACCAATGTAACCATGTCCCTAGAGTTCATTGGAAGCTAATCAGATGCTACCAATGTAACCATGTCCCTAGAGTTCATTGGAAGCTAATCAGATGCTACCAATGTAACCATGTCCCTAGAGTTCATTGGAAGCTAATCAGATGCTACCAATGTAACCATGTCCCTAGAGTTCATTGGAAGCTAATCAGATGCTACCAATGTAACCATGTCCCTAGAGTTCATTGGAAGCTAATCAGATGCTACCAATGTAACCATGTCCCTAGAGTTCATTGGAAGCTAATCAGATGCTACCAATGTAACCATGTCCCTAGAGTTCATTGGAAGCTAATCAGATGCTACCAATGTAACCATGTCCCTAGAGTTCATTGGAAGCTAATCAGATGCTACCAATGTAACCATGTCCCTAGAGTTCATTGGAAGCTAATCAGATGCTACCAATGTAACCATGTCCCTAGAGTTCATTGGAAGCTAATCAGATGCTACCAATGTAACCATGTCCCTAGAGTTCATTGGAAGCTAATCAGATGCTACCAATGTAACCATGTCCCTAGAGTTCATTGGAAGCTAATCAGATGCTACCAATGTAACCATGTCCCTAGAGTTCATTGGAAGCTAATCAGATGCTACCAATGTAACCATGTCCCTAGAGTTCATTGGAAGCTAATCAGATGCTACCAATGTAACCATGTCCCTAGAGTTCATTGGAAGCTAATCAGATGCTACCAATGTAACCATGTCCCTAGAGTTCATTGGAAGCTAATCAGATGCTACCAATGTAACCATGTCCCTAGAGTTCATTGGAAGCTAATCAGATGCTACCAATGTAACCATGTCCCTAGAGTTCATTGGAAGCTAATCAGATGCTACCAATGTAACCATGTCCCTAGAGTTCATTGGAAGCTAATCAGATGCTACCAATGTAACCATGTCCCTAGAGTTCATTGGAAGCTAATCAGATGCTACCAATGTAACCATGTCCCTAGAGTTCATTGGAAGCTAATCAGATGCTACCAATGTAACCAATGTCCCTAGAGTTCATTGGAAGCTAATCAGATGCTACCAATGTAACCATGTCCCTAGAGTTCATTGCAAGCTTATCAGATGCTACCAAAGTAATCATGTCCCTAGTGTTCATTGGAAGCTAATCAGATGCTACCAATGTAACCATGTCCCTAGAGTTCATTGGAAACTAATCAGATGCTAGCAATGTAACCATGTCCCTATTGTTCATTGGAAGCTAATCAGATGCTAGCAATGTAACCATGTCCCTAGTGTTCATGGGAAGCTTATCAGATGCTAGCAATGTAACCATGTCCCTAGTGTTCATTGGAAGCTAATCAGATGCTAGCAATGTAACCATGTCCCTAGAATTCAATGTAACCATGTCCCTAGAATTCAATTTAACCATGTCGCTAGAATTCAATGTAACCATGTCCCTAGAATTCAATGTAACCATGTCCCTAGAATTCAATGTAACCATGTCGCTAGAATTCAATGTAACCATGTCCCTAGAATTCAATGTAACCATGTCGCTAGAATTCAATGTAACCATGTCCCTAGAATTCAATGTAACCATGTCCCTAGAATTCAATGTAACCATGTCCCTAGAATTCAATGTAACCATGTCCCTAGAATTCAATGTAACCATGTCCCTAGAGTTCAACAGTTATTTTGTTTAATTACAAAATCTTTAGATAATGTCAAATTTAAATTATATCTAAAAAAGAAGCTGTTATCGGGATTATAGCCTATAAAAAAAGATTATTATAAGGATTAATGTTGAAAGACATTTTTTAAATGGTTAAATTTAAATGAGTGTCATTTTTTAAAAGAGTAATATTTAGCTTGGATAATTTTAAATTTAAATCTATTATCTATAAATTCCCAATGCATACTTATTTCAATTTATATGGTTTAAAATATATATAAATTCACACTGCATACTTATTTCAATTTATATGGTTTAAAATATATATAAATTCACACTGCATACTTATTACAATTTATATGGTTTAAAATATATATAAATTCACACTGCATACTTATTTCAATTTATATGTTTAAAATATATATAAATTCACACTGCATACTTATTTCAATTTATATGTTTAAAATATATATAAATTCACACTGCATACTTATTTCAATTTATATGGTTTAAAATATATATAAATTCACACTGCATACTTATTTCAATTTATATGGTTTAAAAAACCCCAAAACAACCAGCAGTAGTCACATGATCGCGAGACCGTACACACGGATCCAGTGACACGTGACTTCCGATAACTCAGAGATACCAGAAAGACATGACAAAGGGTGTCATCATCAAGGCTTTTATGGCTATAACAGAGAAAAGGACACCCTTGATAGCGAAAATGCCGAGCCCGTCAGACGGAGTAGCCTCAAAATCTACGCTGGCACTCTGTTCATCTAAGATCAGCCAGCAAACGCAACGCAGCGTGTGCATACACGGGACGATGGCGCTGTACATTAGAACTGATTTCTGGGTTTTTTCTGTCAACGCTGTAGGAACATTTTGAACATTTTGTACAGAGGTGTCTACAAGACGTTGTTTGTCATTTTGATTCATTTTAACGCTCATCTTCTCGGCTAGAGCACACACGCTAATTAGTTCACATTGTTTACGGTTGGCTTGAGTGTCTTGTTTACGGTTGACTTGAGTGTTTTGTTTACGGTTGGCTTGAGTGTCTTGTTTACGGTTGACTTGAGTGTCTTGTTTACGGTTGACTTGAGTGTTTTGTTTACGGTTGGCTTGAGTGTCTTGTTTACGGTTGACTTGAGTGTTTTGTTTACGGTTGACTTGAGTGTCTTGTTTACGGTTGGCTTGGGTGTCTTGTTTACGGTTGGCTGGGGTGTCTTGTTTACGGTTGGCTTGAGTGTCTTGTTTACGGTTGGCTTGAGTGTTTTGTTTACGGTTGGCTTGAGTGTCTTGTTTACGGTTGGATTGGGTGTCTTGTTTACGGTTGGCTTGGGTGTCTTGTTTACGGTTGAACTTAGTGCCTTGTTGACCTTGTTGGCGGTTGGGTTGCGGGTCTTGTTGACGGTTGGGTTGAGTATCTTGTTGATGGTTGAGCTCAGTGTCTTGTTGACAGTTGAACTCAGTGTCTTGTTCATGGATGAACTCAGTGTCTTGTTGACGGTTGGGTTGCGGGTCTTGTTGACGGTTGGATTGCAGGTCTTGTTGACGGTTGAACTCAGCAGTGTCTTGTTGACGGTTGGGTTGCAGGTCTTGTTGACGGTTGAACTCAGTGTCTTGTTGATTTTTGAACTCAGTGTCTTGTTGACGGTTGGGTCGCGGGTCTTGTTGACGGATGGTTTGAGTGACTTGTTGACGGTTACTTGGCGTGTCTTTCGTTTTCTCATCCGCGTACGCAGTGAATGCCCTCAAGTTCATGACGGCCGGATCGTTGGTGGGCTGCACTCCCTGGCTAATGGCCAGTTCGAAGTTTGTGACAGGTGGCGGTAGTGTTGCAATTGGAAAATCGGATACAAGGTCCTTGTCTGGGGCATTCGCTATGACTTGTATCTGGATTGATTCGTCTGTCGGCTGCTCCTTAAGACCGTGAGTGTCTGGGCGGATCAATTGAACTAACGTACACGCTAAAATAGAAAATGCTGCAGGTACAAGGTTGAACATAACAATTCGAAAGCGTCTGACTGTAACGCTCTGGCCGTGTTGCCAGGTATCTGGGTCAACACCTCTCGGAGACATAATTGCCATCAAGCTTACAACAATCCAAGGGAAGCTGCCTGCTACAAGGGAGACAATCCATCGAATAGTTTTGCTTCTGAGCAGGAACTTAAGTTTATTCCGAAGCGCAAATTCTACAGCCAACTCAATCAGGCCGATGCAATAAATGGTGTTTTCAAAATAGATGACGTAATTCGCCAACAGCATGCTTATTGGATCATCCTGCTGGTAAGGAGGCATGTCCAAGGTCTTGACGATGATTGTCAAACAGAACGGGGCCAGCAACGTCTCGGACAAGGCTAAAGACAGGACGATGAATCTGTCGGGCTGCAAGGAGGACACGCACTTGCCGACACTCGTCACGAGCAGGAATCCACTGGAGAGGAAGGTCATTAGGGCAAACAGAAGGGACACGACGTCGTCGTTGGTCATCTTGAATTATAGTGTCTCACTGGTGCAGTGATGGTGCAGTTCACTCGGGGGAGAGTTGATCAAGGTGAATAGAGTTCAGTTGGACAATGGTTCCAGGTGTAGAAGGTAAGTCGGAGAAATGTTCCAGGCTTTATTAGGTCAGTAGGACAATTAGTCCAAGTTTTAGTAGTTCAGTTGGAGAATTAGTCCATGCTTTAGTAGGTCAACACGACAGTTAGTCCATGCTTTAGTAGGTCAGAAGAACAATCAGTCCAGGCTGGAGTATTTCAGTAGGACAATTAGTCCAGGCTTGAGTAGATCAGTAGGACAATTAGTCCAGACTTGAGTAGATCAGTAGGACAATTAGTCCAGGCTGGAGTATTTCAGTAGGACAATTAGTCCAGGCTGGAGTATTTCAGTAGGACAATTAGTCCAGGCTGGAGTATTTCAGTAGGACAATTAGTCCAGGCTGGAGTATTTCAGTAGGACAATTAGTCCGGGCTGGAGTATTTCAGTAGGACAATTAGTCCAGGCTGGAGTATTTCAGTAGGACAATTAGTCCAGGCTTGAGTAGATCAGTAGGACAATTAGTCCAGGCTTGAGTAGATCAGTAGGACAATTAGTCCAGGCTTGAGTAGATCTGAAGGACAATTAGTCCAGGCTGGAGTATTTCAGTAGGACAATCAGTCCGGGCTTGAGTAGATCAGTAGGACAATTAGTCCAGGTTTTAGTACATTAGTTCGCAAAAAAATAATTCAGCTCTCAGCAAATCAGATTTCCCCACTGTTCTCGTCATGTAGACAAAACTGTGGCCAAAGAAAAAGAATGAAAAGGTTAGCTTCCGTTGAAGTTCTCAAGATGCAATTTTTGTACGTAGTGTCGTAGAGTTAACGCCAAGACATATTAAAGAACAGATCTGAAACTAGCGCAGTCAAGTCAGATAACGTCTACGAACGCTCTTTGTTTTTGGTTGAACAGCTGTGAAGATAAAGAAAGTAATTATCTAAAATTTCTCCAATTTCTTGTCTCACAACTGCGAAACATGAAGGCAATGACTTTATCCTAGCTTCAACTACAGATGTCATTATTTAAAATTTAAAAAGAAAAAATAATTCGCATTCGTCCGTCACAATTTTGCAGGGCGGAAACACAAAAGGATCTCCTTAAGGCAAGTGTTGATGAAGATCTAGACTTTCTGCGTAATGTTCGCTGTAGAGTAGGACTATTTTTGACAACATTATTGATTGCTTCAATTTACTGGGGAAAGTAAAATTTAACTAATTCTTTATATTGTCCGCAAAACATGGCCTGGATAGCTGAGTTAGAGAGGGATAAAAAACGCAACAAAGTGCACTTACCTGTAGACTGAGGGAAGTAATTAAGTGACAGCCATTAGCTAATTACGTCCTCTTTTCCTGGAAGCCTTCTAATCGTATCCACGACGATTCAAGGGACACAATGCTAAGACTCAAGACGACACAAGGCTAAGACTCAGACCACACAATGCTATCACGTCCAAGGGAAAACTCTTATTTACCTTCAATTCATGGGCTGATCGAGGATTTACCCAAAACGGGTTGTGTTTGTGTGTTTGTGTGTGTGTGTGTTTGTGTGTGTGTGTGGGGGTGTATAGGGGTTGTTGATTTAATTTCACCCACTCCTCCCCTCCAACCTTCAATCCAAATCTCTCCCCCCCCCCCATAAACGATCACTGCGTCCCCATGCCCCCATTACCAGATGTTCCGGTGCATCACAAGGCGAGGATTTGTGTTGAGAACACCCACCCCTCGAGGAAAAAACAAAAACAAAAAAAAACAACTGATTGTTTGAAGGCGCGTTAAATAGAGTCAATAACTTACAGGAACACTCGGTGCTCAACAATAACGGTGATATTTTATTGGTNGTTTGTGGGTTTGTGTGTGGGTGTGTTTGTGTGGGTTGGTTGGGGTGTATAGGGGTTGTTGATTTAATTTCCCCCACTCCCCCCCTCCAACCTTCAATCCAAATCTCTCCCCCCCCCCCATAAACGATCACTGCGTCCCCATGCCCCCATTACCAGATGTTCCGGTGCATCACAAGGCGAGGATTTGTGTTGAGAACACCCACCCCTCGAGGAAAAAACAAAAACAAAAAAAAACAACTGATTGTTTGAAGGCGCGTTAAATAGAGTCAATAACTTACAGGAACACTCGGTGCTCAACAATAACGGTGATATTTTATTGGTTCGCTCAACTGTCAAAGCCAGCACGATCAGACAACATGCCGCATTGTTTATTTATTTTTTTTCATAGACCAGTCAAGACCTGTATCGGGCCCCCAAACTATGTTGGTATGTATTTCAACAGTTCGAAAGTACGACAGGTCATGGCTCGTTTATCGAAGAATAAAATGGAATTATGTTTATATTACTATTGGAGAATTGTCCTCTAATTAGTGGTCAAAAGTGGGAAGTTTTCGAATCAGGATATTTCGGCCTTGAAGCAGAGGCGTCATTAGGGTAGGGCAGGTGGGGGTTATATTCAAACTGCTATGTACTGTGGTGCCACCAGTAAAAAACAATTTAACAACCTGACCAAGTTTTAGTCCCCCCCCCCCGGACAAAAAATCACGCCCCTGCCTTGAAGTATCAATAAAATGACTTAAACCCTTTATTTGGGTTATCCTATTTTAAATCACCTTTTATCAAAATGTCTAAATATCTATCTGAACCGCCATCGTATACATAGCTTCTGTCCCCAGTTACACAACAGCCTAACTCAGGGGCCATCAATTGACCAAGACGTGTCTAATTTTAAAGTTTTTTTGTTATGGCAGTTATTGCCCCTAACGCATAAGGCTATATTTAGATAGAAGACGGCTCTCTCTCCCCCCCCCCCCAAGCCCCCGCCGTTAGCGTGTGATTCTCATGGTTTGTGGGTCTTAGCGGGGCAACGGGAATGATCGAGTTCGGAAAGAAACATTTTTGATATTGTGGGAACTAAACGTATACATTATATACAATTTATTTACTGGTATGAAAAGTGTGGACATAATATACAGTGGCGTAGCTAGGGGTGTTCGTGGGGGGGGGGTGGATCGCACTGGGTAACACCACTTCAGGGGGTGGCACAAACTTGAAACATTTCGTATGTAGAGAGCACACACTGCTCGGTCTAAATGAATTTCATAAAAGGATAACCGATCACACGTAAATTTTCCACACATGTAACCAATCAAACTGCACAGCCACTCGAGAAAATGCAACCCAACCCAACGGTGATGCACCATCGTCTCACGAGACGGAAGGATGCCGATTAACCAATCAAAATGCGTGCTTTATTTAAAGTTCAAGTTATGCGTAAGAAATGAGGTGACCCTATTATTAGGTCAGAAAAACACCAGTTTTGACCATGATGCCCACGCCGCTTGAAGTGTACGGTATATTTCGTAAGTGACAGGGAGCAATAGTTATCTAAATTTTAAGAAATAAAAGCTTTCCATTGATACCAACTACGATGTGGGCCTGCATGAATCGAATCGGTACAAATTAAAAACATAATAAAATGAATTTTTACCCATTTATACGGTTAACACAATAATATTTTACAAAATTATCTAATATATATTTTAAAAATAATTTAAATTTAGTTACATTTTTAAAAGGGAGGGGTGTGGTTTAAGACCAGATGTATCGAAACCCTCAACAATTTAAAAATCAATATTTTTACCTATTCGTCATTAGCACCGCCTCTTAACATTTAATAATAATAATAATAAAGTTCATTTCAAAAACACGCTTCATCCCCAAAGGCTCGAAGCGCGGTACAAAGTCAACAAAAAACAAATCTATAATTTACCACATTTAAAACAAACGCAACACTACAAAAACTAATTACAAGCATACACGATTGTCATACAGCACAATGCCTTTTACATGCTGTCTGTTATTAGTGGACAAAAGTGGGAAGTTTTCGCATTTGCTGGTCCAATAATTTGGAACGCCCTTCCACTCGATCTCAGAAACAACCAGACACTGGAGTCTTTTAAAACCGATTTAAAGACACATTTATTTCGCAAACCCCTTCTGGGATGATTGTCTACCATATTTTCCATTTAATGCATATTAGCTGTGGTGCTCAAGGTTGAAATGGCTAGAAAGACTTTGACATTGTATGCTTGTAATTAGTTTTTGTAGTGTTGCGTTTGTTTTAAATGTGGTAAATTATAGATTTGTTTTTTGTTGACTTTGTACCGAGCTTCGAGCCTTTGGGGATGAAGCGTGTTTTTGAAATGAACGTTATTATTATTATTATTATTATTTCACATTTATCTGCTACCTTTACCTTTGGGGCTGATCTACTTGAGGAAATTAACCTTACGCAGCAGTTTCTGCAGGCTAAAGGCTTTACTCTTGACAAAGTGGTGACCAACCTAAAGGCCATAAGATTGTTTCTGCACGAGAAGCGCCGTCACTTGGTGGAATATGCTATTACTGCTATTGAAAAGGCACTTTTAAAATAAGACCAATGTGGAATTTCGGGTATAGAGAAGATTAAGGTTAAACAAAAGACCAGCAGACTGGCAAGGCCTTATGATCTGGCTCTGCTATCAATTCAAAATATACGGTGAAGGATATTGATTTTGATCAAATGATTGTCAGGTTTACAGTAAAGCTTTGAAGACCAGAAAAGGAAATTATTTTAAATAAAGTAAATTTAATTTAAAAATAGCTGTGCCTTAAGTTTGTTACAGTTCTTAAATACATTGATCTCCTGACCTTGAACTAATTTGTTTTTGTTCTTGTCATTGTTAGACTGTGGACTTGTTTGAACAAAAAAATAATCCATCGCGGAAAACGAGGTGGGGGGGGTGTGGGGGTGACACCATGTGTTTACCGCACCAAATGACACCAACCTTTGCTACGCCACTGGACATATATAATGATAATGGATGGGGAATGGAAGGCAAACATTTCCAGTTTAGAAGTTAAAAAAAAATGTTCTTAAAATGTCCTTCATGATTCATTTGCATATTTTATAACACCATTTGTATATTTTATAACACCATTTGTATATTTTATAACACCATTTGTATATTTTATAACACCATTTGTATATTTTATAACACCATTTGTATATTTTATAACACCATTTGTATATTTTATAACACCATTTGTATATTTTGTAACACCATTTGTATATTTTGTAACACCATTTGTATATTTTGTAACACCATTTGCTTATTTGTAACACCATTTGTATATTTCTAGCCCCATTAGTATGTTTTGTTACAACATTTTTATATTTTTTAACACCATTAGTATATTCTTAACACCATTTATCTATTATGTAACACCATTTATAAATTCCCTAATACCATATATATATATTTGATTTTTTTATCAACTATCGGCCTGTGCTGGAGTCAAATTAAAAAAAAAAGAAAGAAAGATCAAAGAAATCAAAG